AGTAATATACCCAGCATGGCCTTTATATAGAATATTTCTGTCACTCCCAAAAAGTTCTCTCCTACTCTGTTGTAGTCAATTCACAGCCTTCACCCTTGGGATCTGCTTTATGTTGCTACAGTTTTACTTCTAAAATTTCATGTAAATGGAATCATACGGTATGGAGTTTTTTTAGTCTGACTTCATTTAGCATAATGCTGTTGAGATTCATCCGTGTTATATGTATCAGTAGTTTGTTCCTTTTTCTTAGTAAGTAATATTTCATTGTATGAGGAGTCCTGGTGGCTCAGTGATTAAGCACTCGGCTGCTAATCCAAAGGCTGGCAGTTTGAACCCACCAGCTGCTCTGCAGGAGAAAGATGTGGCAGTCTGCTTCCGTAAAGATTACAGCCTTGGAAACTCTGTGGGGCAGTTCTACTCTGTCCTATAGGGTCGCTATGAGTCAGAATGGATTTGATGGCAATGGATTTATTCCATTGTATGCATAGGCCATTATTTTTCTTCCCCTTCATCAGTGATGAACATTTGAGGTGTTATGAATAAAGTTCTATGAACGTTTGGGTACAAGTTTTTGTGTGAACAAATGTCCCTCATTGCATCCACCTTTATTAATTGGAATTCTTCTGTAAGGAAGAGCTGTCCCTTCTCCTTCGTTTATATTTACTCAATCATTTAACCTGTCTTTTGAGGCGCCTCTGCATGGGTTTGAACTGCCAACTTTCCAGCTAGTAGTACAGTGCTAACTATTTGTGTCACCCAGGGAAGACCACAGTAATAGTTGCTGCAATATTGGTTGCAAATATTTGTCAGTCTGTAGCTTATTTTTAGTTTTTATCTATGGTGTCCTTTCTTGCATGTACGTTCTTTTAATGTTGATATGGAACAGTGGTTAAGCATTTGGCTGCTAACCAAAGGTTGGCAGTTCAAATCCATCAGCTGCTCCTTGGAAACCCTATGGGGCAGTTCTATTCTGTCCTATAGGGTCGCGATGAGTCAGAATTGACTGGATGGCAACGGGTTTTTCATGGTCAAACTTATTAATCTTCCCTTTTTGTTATTTACTTTTTATGTAAAAGTTTCCTTTATTCTAAGATCATAAAAATAAATTTATAGTTTTGGAATAGTCTTACTATTATTTTTTGTTTTGTTTTGTAGTTAGGATTTTAAACTTTCTAGAATTGATATTTTGTAAAGGTGAGCTGTAGAGTTAACCTTAATTTTTTCCATACAAAGAACGTTCCGACCTTATTTGTTGATAGTCCATCCTTGTTGCATGATACCATTAATGGTTGTCCATGTGAGCTAGGATCTGTGCAAGGTACTTTATGTGCCTTTCCTTGTCTACTTATGCCATCAGCTCTACAAGAAAGGTACTAGTATTATCCTCAATTTTTTTAATAGACTTTTTAAAGAGCAGTGTTAGGTTTACAGAAAAACTGTGCAGAAGTTCCCATATGCCCCCCGCCCTGCACAGTTTCTCCTACTATTAACATCTTGCATTAGTGTAGTGCATTTGTTACAATTGTTGAACCAGTATCAGCACATTATTATTCACTAAAGTCCATAGTTTATGTTGGGGTTTGCTCTTTGTGTTGTACAGTCCTCTGGGTCTTGACAAACGCATGTTGTCATGTGTCCACCATTACAGTGTCATACAGAATACTTTCACTGCCCTCCAAATGTCCTGTCCTCCACTGGTTCGTCCCTCCCCACTTCCATTGAACCTCTGCCAACCACTGACCTTCTCACGGTCGCTATAATCTTGCCGTTTTCAGAATGTCTGTAGTTGAAATCATGCTCATCCCCATTCTTCAGATGGGAAAGCTGAGACTCAAAAAGGTTAAGTAACTTGGCCCAAAGTCACACAGCTAGCAAATCATGGAGGCAGAATTTGAAGCCAGAGTATATAGAGAGAGCTAGAGATGGGAGTCTCGTGACCCTTGTTTATTCCAAAAGAAAAAGGGCTAGGGGAGAGAGCTAGAGAGTACCAGCACTTAGATCTGGATTTCTCATCCTTGCCACCATTTGCGTTTTGGACCAGATAATTCTTTATCTAGTTGTGTGTGGGCGGGAGGCGCGGGCACCACCCTATACACTGTAGAATGGTTAGCAGCATCCCTCACCTCTACCCGCTATGTGCCAGTAGGACTTGCCACCACCCCCACCCTACCCACTCCCGGCCTTGACAATGAAATATGCCTCCAGACACTGTTAAAGGTCCCTAGTGGGGGCAAAATTATCCCCAGTTAAAAACCTTAGATAATATTATTATTCAGTGTAACTATCAATATCAGTTATTAATCATTAATGCTAATTATATTGACACAAATTATCAATTGTGATTTGTATAATTTATATCCTTGGGCTGTTGCCTCTTTGGAGCTGAGGGTCAGAAGGTTCTACCCTTCCCTTTAAGTTACACCTTCTCAGCCTTCTGCTACTCCAGCCCGTGGGTCCTCCCTCTGCCTGCCAGTGGAGGTGCTCTGCTTCGTCCCGAAAATGTGCCGAGCCTGTACCGTTTTCATTGCAAGTATGGGGAAACACTGGGGCAAGGGTAGGAGGCTCAGGGGCTGGAGGGTGGCTCTTCTTTTCAAAATATTTTCTTTTAAAACTTCTTTGGCAATGAATAAAAATAGAGAACAAAAGCCCTGCTGATGTAAAAAGATACTCAGATCCAGATGTGGCGGGGGCGAGGCACCCTGCATCATTTATGACAGGCGTCAGGCTGTAAACACATCGCTGTCACGGGCATCCAGTCCCGCCACCTGTGAATGAAGATCTGCATACAAACATCAGGCCTTCTCAGACATGGGGATGTTCAGTGCCCTCACAGAGACAATCTTCTTTCAAATTCCAAAATGTTTGCAAGACCCAGGGTACCTTAGAGTGCTGTCTTTAGCCTGGCCAGTTGGGATCTTGCATTTTAAAGTCTAAAATGCTAATAAAAATTATCACGCGCTAAAGAGAAATGAAGTTCTGATACATCCTACAACATCGATGAACCTTGAAAACATTACGCTGAGTGAAGTAAGTCTATCACAAAAGGATAACTACGGTATGATCGCACTTACATGAAATATCTAGAATAGGCAAATGTACAGAGATCAAAGACTATTAGTGGTTACCAGGGTGGGAGGGGTCCCTGAGTGGTAAACAATTTGCACTCATCTGGTGTCGAAAACAGTTAAGCACTTGACTACTAGCCAAAAGGTTGGTGGTTTGAACTCACCCAGAAGTACCAAGGAAGTCAGGCCTGGCAGTCTGTTTCTGAAAGGTCACTGCCTTGAAAACCCTATGGAGCGGTTCTCCTCTGCACACACAGAGTTGCCATGAGTCAAAATCAACGTGACAGCAATTAACAACAACAAAAACAACGAACCTGAATTTGATTCAAATTCACCCAGAGGCACCGTGGGAGAAAAGCCTGGTGATCTACTTCAAAAAGATTATAGCCAAGAAAATCCTTTGGAGCAGTTCTATTCTGTAACACATGGGGTGACCATGAGTAGGTTTTTAATGAGAGGGGCAAGAGCGGGGAAGGGGGAGTCATTGTTTAGGAAGCAGCGAGTTTTTGTTTTCGGTGACGGGAAGTGTGGCAATGGATATTGGTGATGGTTGCACAACATAATTAATGTAATTAATGTCACTAAATTGTACAAGTGAAAAATCTTGAATTGGCAAATGTTGTGTTACAACAATTAAAAAACAAAAAAAGTGACCAGGCAATGAATGTTCAAAATGATCTGAGTGGCTGTCCAAGTCCTCCCATTCCTGCTCTGATATGAGTTGTTCTGCCCGGAGGACCCCGTTCAGCTTGGCCTAGCTCCATGAAGGCCCTCTCCAGGCTCCCAGTCAGCTCAATTCTCCCTCCTGCAGAAAGGATTTCTGGGAGAGAGGTGGACAAGCCTTTTCATGGTGATGTGAAATCTAGAGCATTGATATTCGTAAACCTTACCCCGCCATCAGTCTGGTGTCCTAGCGACAGAAAGAAACGGGGTCCTGCTGCTCTTACTCATTCTTGGCCAGTCCATACTGGTGCTATGGATCACTTCCTTTTCTCAGCTTATTCTTACCCTTCGGTCCCTGCCGACTCTCCTCTTGCTCTTATGTCTGCGGGGTCCCCACAGCTCTGAGCTCTCTCCAGGGCTGAGGCTGGGATCACCAACCAACCTGGGAGCTCCCCAAAGGGAGATGAAGGTCTCCTTCCTCCTCTCTGAGCCCTTTCATTTTTTAGGGCGGTGGTCTCTCCACTGTGTGAGGTCATCAGTGGATCGTGATAGAATTCTCCATTTCCTTGTAGGAGACCTGGGTTTCGTTCCCCGCCAATGCACCTCATGTGCAGCCACCACTCTTCTGTTATTGGAGACTTACATGTTGCAATGATGCTGAACAAGTTTCAGCAGAGCTTCCAGACTAATACAGACAAGGAAGAAAGGCCTGCAGATCTACTTCCAAAAATCAGCCAATAAAAATCCTATGGATCATATGGTTGGATCTGCAAGTAATCATAGGCATGATGCGGGACTGGGCAGCATTTTGTTCCCTTGCATATGGGGTCACCATGAGTTGGGGGCCAACTCGATGGCAGCTGATAACAACTCCACTGTGTAGATCAACAGAGGATTGGGCTCAGACAGAAAATGGTTAAGAATATTGACCAACTGGGGCAAGGAAGATTCTTGTGGATGTCACCTCTCTGAGTCCTTGTCATCAGGACAAACACACAGGCAGATGTGCAGATGGGGTGGAAGGCCCAGCCCCTCGCTGCTGGGGATATGTTGTCCCAGCCTCAGGGCCAGGGCTGAGCTGGACAAGGTGCCCTGCAGCCCTTGTGAATATTCAGCCGGTTCTGTCCCCTTTGCTGGCTCCTGCCTATGCAAGCAGCCACCTGGGCAGGGTGGCAGAGGGTGGTGGTGACAGTGGAAGCAGCAGGGGACGGAAGGTGGGGGAGGAAAGAAGGCAGAAGCTCCCCAGGCTGACAGAGCCGTGCTGAGCCCACTATGGACAGGCGGCTGAGGGGCGCGGCCATCCCCTGCTTGCTGAGCCTCTTACCAACTGTGAGTACCCGGCTCGGACCCTTGTGCCTCTCCCACTGAGCTCCTGATCTAGGAGCCCACTGACCAGATGGACCTCACTGCCCTTGCCCAGCATGGGGTTCCCTACCACGCAGGCCCAGGCCCTGGCTTGGAGAACTCCTGACGGGGGCTCTGTCCTTCCCCTGCCCAGGCAGTCTATGCTACCTCAGGGAGCCCGGACCATCACAGTGTTCTTGGTGCTGAGCTGAGCATGCCTCCCTGTTGTTTCCCCCAGGGCCTGCCTGTGCCCTGTAGGGGCCACCCAGACCTGTCTGCCCCAAGGCATGCCTCACAACTGGGAAGACAAAGTCAACCCCAACCCCTCAGATGCCAAGCCTCCCTTTTCTCTCAGCTTCCAGTTGCCCTTGAGTCAAATCCAACTCATGGTGACCTCATATGTGTCAGAGTAGAACTGTGCTCTGTAGGGTTTTCAGTGGCTGAATTTTTGCAAGTAGATCACCAGGCCTTTCATTCCAAGGCACCTCTGGGTGCACTCGAGCATCCAACCTTTTGGTTAATAGCCAAGTGTGTTAATGGTTTACACCACCCAGGGACCCGTCTCACCTATGCATCCCCACTTCTTGTACACACTTCTTCTCTGATACGGTGTGCAGGCCCCGCTGTTTCCCCATGACTCCTGAACCACACTCCAGTTCTGATGTTTCCTTGTAATGAGCATGTGGCCAGAGCTGGCCCCAGGACTGAGTAGGATCTGAGTAGTATTTGGAGAACCAGCTGCTTCCCTCTGGCATTTGGGGGACTCTTCTTCTCACAAAATGGAGCCCTGGTGGTGAGTGGTTAAAGTGCTCGACTACTAACCGAAAGGTCGGCGGTTTGAACCCACCAGCTGCTCCTCGGGAGAAAGATGTGGCAGTCTGCTTCGGTTAAGTTTACAGCCTTGGAAACCCTATGGGGCAGCTCTACTCCGTCCTATAGGGTTGCTATGAGTTGGAATCGACTCCACGGCAGTGGGTTTGATTTGGTTTTGAGTTTTCCTCTCACAATATGCCCCGGAGAAAATTTTGGTGGCCAAATATGGCTCTGAGGCCTAGAATGCTGGAGAATGAGCAGCAGGACAGAGGCCCCGCCATATGCCCTGCAATTATCTTGCGTATTTTCCAGGATGTTTCATCACGTGACAGCAGGGACTAGGTGGTGAGCCACAAGGTCCTGGGTGGGGCAGCCCCAGCTCCCAGGAGCTCCTCGGAGCCGCATGGACTGAGGCCTCCTTTTCCTCTGCTGCCTCAGCTCCACTGGCTTGTTGGAGTGGGGGAGGCTGCCACCCCAGTCCCCTTGCTGCATCTGACGCCAAGGACACAGGCTCGGCTTGCACCCTGACTCCATGAAACTAGCTGTGTGACCCAGGGCAACTTCCACCCTTTCGGAGCCTCGCTTGCTGCTTTTGTAAAGAAGGAAAAGTGCTACCTGCTTGCAGGGTTGTTGTGCCCTGAATGGGAGCTGGTTTGTCAAGGGCTGGGCGTGGGGAGCAATGCACAGACTTCCTATGCCCTCTTCATCAGGGGTGAGGGCAGCCTCATCCCCCTCACCTGTGTGCGCCCCACACTGAAAGCTTTATGTTTGGAGCAGGAACCGAAGCCCTCTGGTGGTCGTTCAGCAGCCAAAGCTGGTGTCTCCCAGTGTGAGCTCGGCCCCTCACAGGCCAGGCCAGTGTCCAGGGAGATGAAGTCTGCCCTCGGGAATCGAGTGGGATTAAGTACGTGAGCTGGGGTGACTCAACCATTGGGTCAGTCCTGGAATAGATTATCTTCCCAGCCCCCCTCCCCCACAGTTGTTACCTTTTAGCTGGCCCTGAGACCCCCACATCCTGGGTCACTAGTTGAGCTTCCCCGTATTTTCCTCCTTCTCTGAGGAAGTATGGGAGACTGGGGGGCTGTCTGTCCATCCTCTTGGTGGGAAGTTGTCCATCCTGTCTGGCCTCAGTGGCTCCTCAGACAGGCTCTGACATGTCCCCGAAGGGCAGGGGCTTGCCAGATTGTGGACAAAGGAAGGACAGACAGAGACCGCAGCTCTCTAAACACCCCAGGGTTACAATTAGGCTGCCGGGTAAGAACACCCCAACGAGGCTTGCCTGCGTCCCCATCTTCCTGCATTCCTGTGCTCAGTATGTTGCCAGCAGATGAGACTGGGCCCCACATAGGCCTGGGGTCACTGAGTCTTGGGAGAAGCCAAGAGCAGAGTCTGGACATCCACCAAAGTGGAGACTCAGAGCCGGGACGGTGGGTAGCATCTGCAGCCTGAGGTCCCACAGGACCATGCAGGAGATGGTAGAGCAGTTGAGCAGTTGAGCCCAAGCTGGATTTGGGGGAGTGGGGTCAGCAAATCGGAGACTAGAGTGGCCTCCTTTCCAGTGACAGGACTGGTAGGGGTGGCCCCACTTGCTGGCCTGGGTCTTTTCCTCCTCTCCTAGCCGATTGGTCTGCAGCAAGGTCCTTAAGTCCCTCCTGGGTGGTCACCCACTGTCCACTGTCCCCACTCTGATTCCAGCCCCTGTCTTACGCCCCCCTGCACTCTTCGTGGTGCCTGTATTTCAAACCAGACTGTTGTTAGTTGCTATCGAGTCGGCTGCAACTAATGGCAACCCCATGTACAAAAGAACGAAACGTGTCACGGCCCTCCTCCATCATCATGATCATTTGTATGTTTGAGTCCATTGTTGTGGCCACCATGTATTTTGAGTATCTTCCAACCCAGGGGGCTCATCTTCCAGCACTATATTGGACAATATTTTGTTGTGATCCATAGGGTTTTCACTGGCTAATTTTTGGAAGTAGATCACCAAGCCTTTCTTCCTAGTCTGTCTTAGTTTGGAAGCTCCACTGAGACCTGTCCAACATGGATGACCTTGCAGACTATTGAACACTGCAGTAGTTGCTGTAGTAAGAGGGGAGCACCAGAGAATTTTGAAGTGTTGCACATGACGTATTCAATATATTTATTAATCTTCCTAAGTTTCTTTTCACTTATCTGTTTCTATTCACTTATCTGTCTACCCATCCATCCATTCACCCATTTATCCAAATATCCATCCAGCACATTTTATATGTGCTGTGAGCCAGGTCATGTGATTAGGATTGTTGTTGTTGTTAGGTGCCATCGAGTCGGTTTTGACTCATGGCAACCCTACAGGACAGAGTAGAACTGCCCCATAGGGTTTACAAGGAGTGGCTGGTGGATTTGAACTGCCGACCTTTTCGTTAGCAGCTGAGCTCTTAACCACTACGCCACGAGGGCTCCGTGATTAGGATTAGGGCACAGAAACAAATCAAGCTTTGTCCCTGCACTCAGGTTATTTGGACCAGTGGACCTACAAGGAGCACCGAGTGGGCTTGCCTCATCCCATAACTCTTTCCTGCAGGCACTGGGCCTTGTGCACCCAGAATGTGACTTCATCGCACAGTTGAGAGAGGATGAGCATGCATGTCTTCAAGCAGCAGAGAGGATGCCCAACACCACCCTGGGTATGGGACTTGGGAAGGAAGTGGGGGCTGAAGGGTAGAAGGAGGCTTCTCTTATCGCTTGATCTCTTGCAGCCTCACCCCTCAGAATGCCAGACGAGCCTTCTCCTGGGCCAAGCTGAGTCTTCCCTGTCTCTCAATCTAGGCTGCCCTAGCACCTGGGATGGGCTGCTGTGCTGGCCAAAGGCAGGCTCTGGCGAGTGGGTCACCCTCCCCTGCCCAGATTTCTTCTCTCACTTCAGCTCAGAGTCAGGTGAGGGGTCCTGGGCGTGGTGTCTTGGGGGGTGGGGGGTGGGGGGGTTTCCTGTGGTCATGGCAGAACATGGTGAACCCATCCCTAGCTTGGAGGCAGGCCAAGCTGTATATAGATACCAATCCCCCCTCTTCTGGCGTGACCTTGGGCAAGTCAGTCAATGTTCCGACCCTCAGCTTCCTTCCCTGTGAACTGGGGAGAAGAAGAGCACTTACTACCTGGGGTGTGAGAAATAGTGAGGAGAGTGTAGGCGCTGGGCCCAGCGCCAGACACGGGGCAAAGGCTCTGTGGGTGTTAATGGAAGGGCTGGCTGTCTGACTGCTCAGGTGATACCAGCTGCCTAGGATGGATCCTGGCAGGGGAGGGCACAAGGGCACCCCCACTGCCCTGCCTCGCCTCTCTGGCTGGGTATCTGGGGTGTTCTACCCCATCAAGGGCCGAGGGCCTCCTTTTTCACCCTATCCTTAGGACCCTGGGCACCCAACTCACTCCTTTCTGCTCCCCGCCAACTCCGCTGCAGCTCGTCTTCACAGGAAGGATTCTCTCTGCTTAGCAGCTGGCAGCTCTGAGGCCACAGAGGAAAGGGCCCACAGTGTGTCCTAGGCAGGCTAGGCCTGGAACTCAGGCCTTTGGAAGGAAGGTCGCTCTCTCTCTGCTCCCAAGAGGGTCTGTCTGTGTGGATCCTGCCAGTGTCACTCGATGGTGTCCTGGGGAGAGGGAGGAGTTATAATCTGAGACTCTGTTTCCCCACCTCTCCGTTCTTCCCAGGGGCCGTGAAGCGGAATTGCACTGTCACGGGCTGGTCCGAGCCCTTCCCACCTTACCCTGTGGCCTGCCCTGTGCCCCTGGAGCTACTGGCTGAGGAGGTAAGAGGCTCCCGACTTCTTGGACCCTTTCTGGGGGGTGTTTGCCCGTACAACTGTGGGGGCCGCCATTTCCTCTGAGGCCATCATCAGATTGGAATATTAATTACAGCAGTCTTCCAGCAGATGGCAGTAAAGTGCCAGGAGGAGAGGGGGCCTTATGCTAATTTGCTCAAGGGTGACTAGTGGGCCAAGTTACTGTTTGCTTGGAGAAGAGAGGAGGCAGAGGGCAGGTGGGAAACGCACTGCTCACCGTCTTTTGGTGTACCCTCTCTGTGTCCAAGCCTTTGGGTGTTTTTTTGCCCTGAGCAAGTTCCTTCCCCTCTCTGGTCGGTGTGCATGGCCGTTGTTTGAGTTAAGTAAAGGAAATTCAAGTCCAGAAGTGAGCCCAGAGACCCTCTAACTCCAGCCAGCACTTGCATGCCCAGAATCTCATGTCTCTCTCCCCCAAGCCGCTAAAGGTAAGCATAGCCTGGCTGTTTTTCAGATGAAAAACTGAGTGAGAAGGAGGCTGTGATTGCCTGAATCCCACAGGGGAACTGGGATTGGAGGCAGCGCCAGGCCATGCTGCCTCCCCCAGGCTGCTCCCTCAGTTTCTTGTTTCTGGGGCCAGGCTGGACTCGGATTGATCCAAACACTCGGCAAGGCAAGAGCTTTTTCCTGCCTGCCTGCCTGTGGCTGTCCCCGGCTGTCCCCTATATTTGGGGATGCTCTGTTCCCAAACTGGTGAGCAAGCTGGATGTCAATAAACAAGCCCAATTTCCTCTTGAGCTTTTGTCACCCGCCCCCCAGAGACGTGTATTTTCTTCTGCTCCTCTCCCCGCCCCCAGAGCACAGAGCATCCCCAGTTCCGATCCTCTCCTGGTTCCTCACCACAGGTCAGGTGGGAGGCTGCTGTATACCAGAGCTTCAGTGCATAGGGGGCTTTCCGTGGTGAGGACATCCCTGCCACCAGATGGAGAGATTTGGGGTGGAGTTGAAAAGGCTTCATTTGCCTGATCCCTGAGCCCCCCTTTTCCCAAAGGCCCAGGAGCTGAGACCCTCTTCTGTCTCCACTCTCCCCAGAAATCTTACTTTTCCACGGTGAAGATCATCTATACCATGGGCCACAGCATCTCTGTTGTAACCCTCTTCGTGGGCATTGCCATCCTGGTCACTCTCAGGTTTGCTATTCTCATCACCTGCTCAAGAACTTTCAATGACTCCCTATTACCCAGAAGACCAAGTCTGATTCCTTGCCTGGACATTCAAGAGTTTCCCAGATCTAGGCTCCCTATGTATTTCTAAATTTTCCTTCCCTTTTCCCCAGCATATAGACTCATCTCTTCACACACCAGAACTCATTCTGCAGGTCCATACCTTCGCTTATGCTGTTTGTATTTGTTGGGAATGCCTGTCCCCTTCTTTCTCAATGCATTTATATCTGTCAAAATTCAAAGCCCCGCTCCCATCTGCTTCTCAGAATCCTCTCTGCTTCCACCAAAGGGGTGCAACAGCTCGTCTTTACTGTTCAAACCTTCTGACTACCCCTCCTTCAAAGCCCCCAGCATTCAGAGTCTGAGCCCCTTCCTGCGGCCCCTGATCACACCCGGCCTGTGCTGTACTCTGTCTCGTGGGGGTGAGTCTTGTCTCTCTGACAATCCAGGGGACTCCCATGGACAGTACCCTTGTTTCCACATCTGTCTCCCAGACTCTGAGCTCCCTGAAGACAGGGTCTGGTTTCTTCCTCTGTTCCCTCTGTGAGACTGAGCCCAGGGCTCTGGTTGGTCAGCTGTCCTGCAAAGAAAGCTAAGACTGAGGCCTCCAGTTCAATTCAGTTCATTCCACTTCACTTCCACTCAGCTCAACCCAACTCCAGTTCAATTCAATTCACTTCATTTCAACTCACCAACTCAACTCAACTCAACTCAGTTCACCTTGCAGCCTTGCTCAGCCCGCTAAGCCAGGCCCCTGCTGTAAGCACACCTGAAGCCCTTCTCCCACCTGGCCTCCTGTTTCTCATCTCCCCACCCCCTCCAGGAGGCTCCATTGCCCCCGGAACTACATCCACACTCAGCTGTTTGCCACCTTTATCCTCAAGGCGGGAGCCGTGTTCCTGAAGGATGCCACCCTCTTCCATGGCGACAACACTGACCACTGCAGCTTCTCCACTGTAAAGGCTATGGCCTGGGGTGGGGGGCTGGGGGGGAGGCTGGATTAAAGACCTAGGTGAGCCCGCCCAGTACTGCCCTGTCTGTTGGCTGACCCTGAGACCCTGCCATTGCCAGTTCCCAAACAAGGACGCTCCCTGCCCCCTACTGCCCGCTCCCCAGTCAGGCCCTAAGTCCTTGTTCCCAGACCACTGTGCCAATCCATGCCACTCACCACAGTCCGCTCTCCACTCCATATTCTGCAGTCTACTTTATGCTCTGCATTCTGTACTCCCCGTTCAGGCCCTGTTTCATTCCACTGGTCTTTTCATTTCATTCCTCCAAGGAGCACTCACTGCATCTGTGGCTGGGGGCGGGGTTAGGGGTGGAGGAGAGAGAGCTGGGCCCCTCCCTCAGGAAACACACAGGGGTCCCAGGGGACACAACGCACCCGTATGATGGGACTACAGGTGCAGAAAGCTGAGAGCTGGAGAGAGCAGAGAGGGCTTCAGGGAGGAGGCGGTTTGGAAGCTGGGGCGGCAGCAGTGACAGGGAGATAGGGAGGGAGGACACATCAAAGGGATGGACCAGTGTGAACAAACTAGGAGGCCAGAGGACCTGGGATGTGTCTGAGAAACCCAACAAGTCAGATTAGGAAAGTGGTAGGAAAGATAACAGACTGAAAAAAAAAAAGAAGTTGGGCAGAGCACCCAAGCCCAGCAGATAGCAGGTACTCTAAAAATGCTGGAAATGAACAGATAAATGAGTGAACACACCAACCAATGACCTTAATTAATTAATGAAAGAATTAACAATAATATATATTAACCCTTTACTATGTACCAGGCGTTGCACTCAATACTTTACACATATTATCTTCTTTAATCTTCAAAATGACCTGAAGCAGAAGTCTGACTTGAATCCCATTTTGTGGAGGAGAGGCCTGGGGCACAGAGAGCCTGGCGGTGGGCAAGGTCACCCCGCTGCTAAGGGTGGCGCAAAGGGTCGGCTCTCAGAACTGCTGGGTGACGTGCACTGAAGCTGTGGATGAAGGCAGGGTCCCCATGAGCAAGCTTGCGGGACTGAGCTGTGCACGAATCAGTGCTCTTCTATGTTGCCAGCTCTAGGGATGGACGCTAGTCCCTGGGTGGTTCAAATCGTTAAAATGCTTGGCTGTTAATTGAAGTGTTGGTGGTTTGAGTCCATCCAGAGGTGCCTTGGAAAAAAGGCCCTGGTGATCTACTTCCAAAAAAATCAAGCATTGAAAACCCCATAGAGTGCAGTTGTACTCTGACATACATGGCGGTCGCCATGAGTCAGAATCGACTTGATAGCCACTTTTTTTTTGGTTTTTAGGGATGGACTTGAGCTCAGGAAGGATGGGGTGAAAAGGAAAGTCATAGCAACTCTTACATAGAGTGTCTGTTTAATGCTTATAACCAAGCCATGAGATAGGTGGTGTTTTTCCTTTCATGGATGAAAAGCTCAGGCTTAGGGAGGCTCACACTGCTAATGGGTGGTAGGATTTGAATCTAGGTTGTCTGGATCCCAAATCTGTGCTCCTACACACCACACTACACTACCACACCCTCTGGGGAGGGGGCCTGGAGGTTCGTGGTCTGAGTGGAATGTCTTGGGTGGGGGCCCAGTGAGTGTCTCGGCTCTGAAGCACCCAGTCCCCTGCCTTCAGGTTCTGTGCAAGGTCTCTGTGGCTGCCTCCCATCTTGCCACCATGACCAACTTCAGCTGGCTGTCGGCCGAAGCTGTCTACCTGACCTGCCTCTTGGCTTCTACGTCACCCAGTGTGAGGTGCCCCTTCTGGTGGCTGGTTCTTGCTGGCTGGGGTGAGCACGGAGGGCTGGATTTGGGTGCAGTGGGGGAGGCAGAGGGCTAGGAAGTCCAGGGAGCTCACAAGGAGGTGCCTTCACCTCACTGATGACGACTCTGAGGACCAGAGAGGGGCAGGGATAGGCCACAGTCACACGGTAAGTGCAGGGGAGGGGAGCAAGCCTCTGGGCTTTCCCTGGTCTTGCCTGTGTGGCTGGCCAGGGACAGGGGGAGGGTGGGCCTCAGGGTCTCAGATGTAGAGGCTTCACTTGTGTCCCCTCTGTGGTCCCGACAGGGTTTCCAGTGCTCTTCGTTGGCACCTGGGTGGGCTTCAAGTGGGCCTTTGAGGATATTGCGTGAGTCTGACCTATATGGGGTTGCATGGGGCAGGGAGGGGACAGCTGGGAAACCTGGCTGTTCTCCAAGTTGGAAAGAGAAGGAGGAGACCTGGGTCCTGCCCTCAGGGAATTCCCAGGCTGGGGAGGTGGGGGAGAGGGGCTTGTAAACTGGGGTGAAAGAGGGGGCTTCAATTCTCAGGGCGTGGGCTCAGAGGTAGTAGCGGGGGCCTCCCAGAAGAGGGGGATGGTTGGGGCCAGCAAGGAAGCAACAAACACAAGTCCATCCATTTAGGTGGAGAGAAAGGGTGAGCCCAGCATGTATGGGTGCCTCTTTGGGAGTGGGGTGGCTAATTGGCTGAGAGAGAAGATAAGACTGAAGAGGAGGTGGGTTCAAGCTGGAAGGCTTGAATGCTAGAGAGAGGAGAGACAGTTGGAGAGGCCAGCGGGTACAGAGATGACCGGAGGAAGAGGTGTGTGTGGGTTACCTCCAAAAAGTGGACTCTGCAGCGACTGCATCCTGGCATCCCTGGCATCAGCCTTGGCTCCTCCTCTCCCCAGGTGCTGGGACCTGGACAACAGCTCCCCCTACTGGTGGATCATCAAGGGGCCCATCATCCTCTCTGTCGGGGTCAGTCCCTGGGGCCAGTGCCCTTTGCTTTATTCAGTCAACCTCCATAGTCCACCAAGGGGCCATCCACAGCAGGAAACTCGACTCTAGGCTGGGGATCAGGAAGCCTGGGTTCCAGCCTAGCTCCGCCACCAATCCTCGGGGACACCCTCTGTGGGCTTCAATATCCCAGGCCCAGGTAAAACCATGAGGGTTGTCTTGATCAGTGCTCAGGCCCCTGCCAGCTTGGAGTTTTGATGAGTGTGGTGTGCTGATTGCAGTTCAGGCACTACCGCAGCAAGAGGCAGGGGTAGGGGATCAGAGGGAGTCCGGCAGGTGAGCCCCCCGCCTGATCCCACACATGAAACAGAGGCATCCAGGACTGGTTTGCATGGGCTCAGTGACTATGCGAATTTTTCTCATTTTAGCAAGTGTGCAAACTAAGGGATACCTAATTTGTGCCAAAGAAGCCTATGGGGGTGGCTGGAGGCAGGATGCTAAGGCCTGAACCCTCCACCCTTGATCTCAGAACTAGAGAAGGTGGACACCCTGAGCCCCACGCTGCTCTCTGAGGCTTGCATATGGGACCCCTTTGTCTCCAGGCTAGAAGTCCTGGGGCGATGGTCTCTGTGTCCATCCACCTACCTGTCCCTGTGTCTCAAGAATTTGCGGTTTCTAATCCCCAGAGGGAGCCCTGGTGGCACGGTCGTTAAGACTAGGCTGGGGCCGAATCCCTATCCCAGCCATCCCAGGCCATCCATCCCCTGACTCTTGCCCTCCATCTCTCCGCACCTTTATTTCCAGGTGAACTTTGGGCTTTTTCTCAATATTGTTCGCATCCTGTTAAGGAAACTGGAGCTGGCTCAGGGCAGCCTCCACACCCAGTCTCAGTATTGGTACCTCGTGCATATGTGTGTGCATGTGTGTGTGTGTGTGTGCTGGGGGGTGCTGGGGAGGGAGCCGGAAGGGGAGTCAGTATGGTCTGTTTCATCTGGTGGGTGAGCTTAGCCCCACGCTGCTCCGTATATTCGCAGAGAGAAAATAGATCTGGTCCCTCCCCTCCAGGAGACACAATACAGAAAGGCTGGAGGCTCCCCAGTTACCATGCCGAATAGGCTGTTGAAGACTGGAATTTATTTCTATGGCAGTCTGGTGGGGGGAGGGAAAATTAGGGAAGACTTCTTGGAGGAAGTGGTTTTTGAATTGGCCTTTGAAAAATGCATAAGACCTTGGCTGGGATAAACTGGGACAAGAGCATTTGGGATAGGGAACAGTGGGATCCAGAGCTGAGAAGTGAGGAAGCCCAGGGTGTGTGTGGGGAGGTTGGAGTTCTCCAGGGTGGCTGGTACATACAGTGGAGAAGGGGTGGTTTGGGGAGGTGAGGGTGAACAAGGGCCTTTAGTGGGAGCAAACCACAAAGAATTTCTAATATGAGCCTAGGGCTTGTTCTCTCCTGCAGGCGTCTCTCCAAATCAACACTTTTCCTCATCCCTCTGTTTGGAATTCACTACATCATCTTCAACTTCCTGCCTGACAATGCCGGCCTGGGCATCCGCCTGCCCCTGGAGCTGGGGCTGGGTTCCTTCCAGGTTAGAGGCCTCCACAGGCACTCCTTCCCTCAGAGTCCTGGGTCAGGAAACAGGTGCTGCTACCCACAGGCCTTGGATGACTTTATGGTAGGGTGAGGGTTGCTAGGCCAGTTATTCTTCTGTCAGTCCACCCATCTATCTATTCAATAATTCATCTGCTTGTCCATCTTCTATCCATCCATCTCTCTGTTCATTCAACTACCCATTCACTCATCTACCCATGCATCCAATAATCCATCCAACCATCCATCCACCTACTCGTTCATCCTTCTTTCTATTCGGCCTTTACTGGGCACCCATCATGTGCCTGGCTCTGTGCTTTTTACTGAGAGATGCAGAAATAAAAAATGTCAGAGAAATGGGGCTAATAATATAGCCCTGACAGGCTTTCTATGTTGATCACATGAGACAATATGCCTGGCACATAGTAAGTGATGAATGCATCTAAATTCCCTTCATGTGTAAGCCTGACCCAAGCCACAGCCTGCACGTGGGTAGGAGAGAAGTTGTAGAAAGACTGTGGACAACTTGAGGCCAGGCTGAAGGGTTCTGATGGAGTCTTCTGTTTGGCCACCCACAGGGATTCATCGTTGCCATCCTGTACTGCTTCCTCAACCAAGAGGTGTGTGACTCTCCAGGTTCTCCCTTACTCGTTGAGCCTGCCCCTCCCACCAATCCTGAGGCCCCCTCTCTCCTGACCAGACCCTGTAGAGCTCAACCCACACCAAACCTGAGCCCTGTGATCCATTGTCAGAAAGTCTGTACTGAGCTCCTGGATCACACTGAACCTGAATGCTTCCTGTAAACATATTTTATCCATTCACTCTCTGGGTTGGGCCAAGTTATACTGTCCATTTGCCAGGGGGGTGAAGGAGGCCTTTTAGGCATCAGGAGAGGGATCCAGAAATGGGGTAAATGGATCCCCCAATTTGTGCTCCTAAAATTGAACAAAAGGGAGAGTAGGTGAGGGATAAGTGAGCTAGGGGAGAGACTTTCAGGCAGAACGGAGACAGAGAAACCAAGAAAGTCAGAGGTAGACATACAGGGGTCTAGGAAAAAAGAGTCATATGCAGAGCCAAAGAGGAAGATCCAGAGCAGAGCTGGGGAAATTGATGGAGAGCTGCTAGAAGAGAGACACACAGACCAGACGGAACAGAAGGGAGAGACACAGCACAGACGGGACAGATGGTGCAGGTGCTCATGTAGAAACATGAAAGGTGGCAGAGACAGATGAGCAGTGAGTTGAAATATCCCATCCAAAAGACACCGTACACTCTTCCCCTGGGACAGACTTGTTTTGTGGGGAGAGAATTGTTCGGTGGTAGAATTTAGCTCAGTGCCCCAGACCCCCAGGGCCAGGGTCACGGGCTCTGTCTGGTGGCCGTGGATTCGCCGCGGGCTCTGTTGTCTGTCGAAGATGCTGTGGGCGCCCTGTCCTCCTACTGTGGAGAGTACCCCTGTCTGACTGGCCATCTCTGTCCCTGCCTAGCTCCCTCCTCTCTGACTCTCTTCTTTGCCTACTGCCCTAGCCTCTCTGTGTCTCACACCGCTTTATTTGGGGTATGGGATGCAGACAAAAATGCAATGCCTGGTTGTCATGGGAGCAGCTCTGGCTGGGGCTGGTGTGGCCTGGGGATGGGATTTCCATGGAGAGGTGTGAAAGGCTCTGTCAGGAAGCGGTTTTGGTTATACACCTCTGGTGACAGGAAGTTGACTACCTCCTGAGATGGCTCTTCCTGTGGTTAGGCAGTTGTGGGCAAGCTCCTTTTCGTGTTGAACAGAGAACTGTCTTCCATTTATCTGTGACCACAGCCCCAGTTCAGCTGTCTAGGGCCACAACCTGTGAGCTCCCTCTACCTCCACCACCCACCCCACCCAACCCCAGCAGCCCCTTGGAGGTGTGAAGATGCAGACAGGCTCCCCCTGAGGCTGCTTTTCTTTCCGTTATCCTCAGTTCCCTCAACTGCAGCTCCTCAGAGTGCTGAGTGCTCCTCCTTCTGGTCATGCCCTCAGGACAGGTTTCCAGTGGCCACAGTTCAGCTCACAGAGAAAGATCAGGACTGAACACCAGAGCCAGGGATGATGTAAGTCATGCAAGACAGACATGGAGAAGTTATCTGGCCAGGAACTCAAGAAATCAGCCCATAAATGTCTTAACTGTGTCCTGACAAAGACAGTGCTAAAAGGTAGAGAAAAGAGCTAAAGCAAATGATGAGAAGTACTCACAGGAAGGAGGAAGTAGTATCCTCCAGAGGCAGTACTTAGTAGTGGCTGTGGCCAACTGTGGCTTCTCCTGCCCATGTCTCTGTTTCTCCCATGTGGTCTCTCCCTGCACCCTCAGTCTTACTGGGGTTGAGTACAGAAGTGGCAGTGGGACCTTCCTGACATCCTCTCCCTTGTCCCTGGAGGTGAGGACTGAGATTTCTCGAAGGTGGCACGGCCACGACCCTGAGCTTCTGCCAGCCCGGCAGACCCGCTCCAGATGGACAATGCCCTCCGGCTCTGGGGTGAAGGTGCTGACATCTGTGTGCTAGGCTGGCCACATGGCATGACCGGAGTCCACACCTGAACTTGGACAACTCCCAAGGGGCCTACCATCCTCCAGGGGAGCAAGAGGGACCAGCACCACCCGAGAGCCCTTAGGCCACCCCCGCAAGCCGCTGCTCAGCCCTGGGCAGGGGCAGGCTGAGCCATCATTCGTCCCCCTAGAGCCTGATGGATACCTGGCTGAGCGAGTGATGCCTGTCTGCAGGGGAGAGGCTCTGCGTCCCCTGTTTGGACCTCAGGTGCAGAGTCATGTCCTCCACATGCCTCAGTTCACATCACGTTTGCATGACTCATCTGTGCAAGGACCTGTTTTGATTTTATTTTTTAAAATATTATTATCTTTTAGCCCCACTCTCATTCCCCTCCTCCAGGAGACCATTCCGATGTATTTAATGTGAATATTTGTGTTTCTGTGTGTTCTCGCAAAATACGGAGTGTTTCGTGTGCCGATATTTTTCATTTACAAAAATGGTGTTGGTTATACGCCTCATCCTCTTTCTAACATTTTCTCCCCTCGGCTCTTTGTTTTGACGAGATCCACCGTGTTGCCGTGTGTGTCTCTGGTTTGCTGTTTCTGACCGCGGCGAGGTTCTGCATGGTGTCATTGCCCACGTGTTTCACGTCTCATCTCTCCCTCCCTCTACCACCGCTGCGGTGACCATTCACATACCTGGCCCGTTGTGGACCTGTGGGGGCATTTCTCTGGGACACACACCCAGGATAGAAGGGCTGGGTCACCAGTCATGTCACTTGTCAATCTGATAAGCAGTGGCAGATTGTTCTCCAGAATGACTGCAAGAACTACGCTCCCACCAGCAGCTCACGCGGTTCCTCAATCCTCACAGCCCCACCAGCACTTGTGTTATCCAGCCTTTTAATGTTTGCTAGTCAGTGTGCACAAAGTGACATCTCATTGTTGTTTGAATATGCATTTCTCTGACGGCTAATGAGCGTGAGCATCTCTGTTTGCCTGTTAGCCTTTGGAGTTTGCTCTTCTGCAAGTTGCTTGGATCCCTTTTTCCATTTTTCTCTGGGGTGGAGAGTCTTCAACTGTAGGTCTTATTCTTGGGTCCTCTTCACCTGCACCCTCCTGCACCCCTCACCTGTGCCTGCTGCCTGCCACCCCCCACCCAAGTGAGGCTCCCTTAATGTACTCCATCGTCCTGGTCCAGCCTTCTCCCACCCTATCCTGCGGCAGGAGACGAAGAGAATAAGACCTGGGTGCTGTCCTTGAGCAGCTGTTGGTGGATAGGGAAGGAGGGAATTTCAGTACAGAAAACAGACAGAAATGAATACTGTGCAGGTCAGAATTAAATCTCTCTCCTTCTTTGTCTAGAGTCCCTGGGTGGTGCAAACGGTTAACAAACTTGGCTGCCGACTGAAAAGTTGGTGGTTTGAACCCACCCAGAGGTGCCTCAGAAGAAAGGCCTGGCAGTCTACATCTGAAAAATCAGCCATTGAACACCTTATGGAGCACAGTTCTACTCTGACACACACAGGGTCGCCATGAGTCAGAGTATACTCAACGGCAACTGGTTCTTTTCTGGTTCCTTCTAGACAACTATCCACAGTCCTGCTGAACTCAGCTCCATTCCTCTGCCTCCAGGAAGACTTCTCTGGCTACACCAGCCTTCCTTGCCATTCCTCCTCTTCCCCCACTCCCACCCCAAGAGGTTAAATCTCCTTCTCCAGCCCTTGCCCACCTGGACTAATTACCAGATGCCATTTCCTTGTCCAGGCCCTAGCCTGGGTTCCTCCCCTCCCATGACTCCCTGGGTGGTGGCCTTCTCTTCTGCATGAAGCATGCAGTTGTCTCTTCTACTGCTCTGGATCAGGTTCCCTTGCATATGCACTGGGAACGAAAGGGACCTGGAATCCCTCACCAGTGTTGGTGCATAAGGCTGCAGGCGTGTGCCTGGTGGTGGAACTGATGGAATCTTCCTCTTTACATTCATGTGGTTCTGCTGAAAGGAGGCACAGCCATATGAGACCCAAGGTCAGGTTGTTGGCCATGATGCCCTACTGCCCAGATGAATGTCCTGGTCAAACAAATGTCAGGGTGTGGCCCCAGTCTAGAAACCTCATTATTCATTCCTTCCTGTAATCTCAGATTATAAAAGTAATTCATACTCATTGCAGAGCATTTTATATATATATATATATGCCAAATGCATTACCATCACATCGATTCTGACTCAATGCAACCCCACGTGTGCAGAGTAGGACTGTGCCTGGCCTCAATAGGGTCTTCAAGGCTATGACCTTTCGGAAGCAGATGCCTGGCCTGTCTTCTGAGGTGCCTCTGGGTGGGTTTGAACCACCAACCTTTCAGCTAGTAATTAAGAGCAAACCACTTTTGCCACCCAGGGGCCTAATTCACATTCATTGCAGGACATTTGAGAGCTATAAGAAAACAAAACCCAACCCATTGTCATCACGTTGATTCCAACTCATAGTGACCCTGCAGGACAGAGTAGACTGCCCTATAGGGTTTCTAAGGAGTGGCTGGTGGATTCGAACTGCTGACCTTTTGGTTAGCAGTCAAACTCTTAACCACTGCCCCACCAGGGCTCCTTGAGAGCTGTTAAAAACAAAACAAAACATACAACTAAACCCTTTGTCATCAAGTCGATTCCAACTCATAGCGACCCTATAGAAAGACTTAAAAAATGAATAAAAATCAGCCATAATCTCATTACCCAAAGAAAGTCATCATTAATTTTTTATATGTTTCCTGAAAGATTTTTTTCCTCTGCTTTTTTGAAACATGTTGAGACCATACTGTGTTCATAAATTTGTCTTGATTTTTTTTTTAGATTTAAAATTAACATACATGAAGTACAGTTGACCTATATGCACATGAAGATGTTCAACAACACTAGCTGTTAGGAAAATGCAAAGCCACGATAAGATATCACTCCGCACTCATTCGGATGGATCAAATAAAAACTACAGGCAATAACAAGGGTTAGTGAGAACGTGGAGAAAGTGGAATCCTCATACGTTGCTGGTGGGAATGGAAAATGGGGCAGCTGCTTTGGCAAACAGTTTGGCAGTTCCTCAAAAAGTTAAGCATAAAGTTACCATATGACCCAGCAATTCCGCTCCTAGATACTGAGAGAGAATAGAATTCAAGAGAATTAAAAATATATGTCTATAAACACTTGTACATGTACATATGTCTGTACAAAACTTGCAGCATTGTACATAATAGCTAAGAAGTGAAAACAACTTCATGTCCATCAACTGATGAATGGAGAAGCAGAATGTGGTTTATCTATACAGTGGCATATTAATCCACAATAAGAAGAAAAGAAGTTCTGATACATTCTACAACATAGGTGGTGCTTGGAAACACTATGCAAGGTGAAAGGCTACCTACTGTATGATTTCATTTATAGGAAATGTCCAGAATAGGTAAATCTATAGAGATAGTAAATAGATTAAATGTTCCCAGGGGCTGAGGGAAAAATGGGGAGTGACTGCTAATGGGTACGGGCTTCTTTATGGAATGAGGAAATGTTCTAAAATTAGATAGTGATGATGGCTGCAAAACTCTATAAATAGAGTTATATAAAAATCAGATATAAATCTCTGAACTATACCCTTTAAAAGAGTGAGTTTTATGGTATGTGAATTACATCTCAATAAAGCTACTATTTTAAAAAAAGAGTAAGTGGATGGTTGTTGCAAAACGTGTGCAATATTTTTTTCTGCTACATCATTTGTAAAGCTTATATATTATTCTTCATTTAGCTAGTACTTTTTAACAACTCTTCCACTGGTGAATATTTAAGTTGCTGCCAATTTTTTTTCTTTGTTATTGTGTTTTAGGTGAAGGTTTACAGAGCGAGTTAGTTTCTCACGAAACAATTAATACACATAGAATTGTTGCCAACCCCGCGATGTGTCAACACTCTCCCCTTCTAGACCTCTGGTTCTCGGTTGCTGCCAAATGTTTTATAAATAGTTGTGATGATAAATTTCCTTGTGAACAATTCTTTATGTACATCTCAAAAAGATAAAAAACCTCAGGAGAAACTCCTAGATCTAAAAATTTTGAGCCAAAGCAATACACGTATGAAGTCTTTTAATACCTGTCTTAGGCTGGGTTCTCTAGAAAAGCAAAACCAGTGAAACATATAAATATATATATATAGAGATTTATATTAAGGAAATGGCTCACGAGGTTGTAGAGCCTGGAATGTGAGTCAGGCTGGAGGCATCTCCTGATTCACGTAGCAGCAGGGGCTGGTGAACCCAAGATTGGCAAGACAGACAGCAGGGCTCTGACTCACAGGGTGCAAAGACCAGCAAATCTGAAGTTAGGCAGGCAAGATGGCAGACAAGCTGCTAGTTGAAGTCCCAAGAACCGGAGGTCAGATGAACAGAAGCCAGCTGCTGGATTCAGTGCCAGCAAAAACCCACTAGCATTGCCAGAAAGTCCACTTACATTCGATTCAGGCCACACCCACAAGGAAACTCCCTTTCAACTGATTGGCTACTCATAGCAGATCCCATCATGAAAGTGATTACAGTATATCAAATCTCATCATGGAAGTGATCACATCATCATACGATCCCCAAACTAGGTTGTAACTACCAAACTGCTGAGAATCATGACCCAGCCAAGTTGACACAGAACCTTAATGGTCACAACGCCTATTGGCAAATTGCCTCCCAGAAAAGTTGAACTAGTGTATTCTTGCAAAACAGTGAAAGTGTGACAGCTTCTCTGTGTCATTATTGTCATTAAAAAAAATCTTTGCCAGCCTGATAGTCAAAGAGTGGTCTCTTGTAGTTTTAATGTCCATTTCACTGGTTGGAGGTGGACTTAGTGGGCTCAGCTGCTAAGCAAAAAGCTGGGAATATGAATCCACCCAGAGGCGCCTCAGAAGAGAGATCTGACAATCGGCTTCAGAAAGGTTACAGCTTTGAAAATCCTATGGAGAGCAGTTCTGCTCTGAAACACATGGGGTCGGTGTGA